TCAGCAGGACTTGTCTTGGATTTATGGATCTCCAACAAAATATTCTGTGAGAACTAGGCACATGTCAACTTCAGCTTACCAAAATCTTTTGTTTCTTTCAAAGATTAGGATTTTTGCCTGTATTTACAGTTCTCTCTTTTCTGATACTGGCATTGATGACAGCCTCTAACCAGAATATATGAACTTACAGGGCTACTCCTGCTGTCTCTCACCCATGAACTTTTAAAATCAGGACTGTGTTTTTTATAGTTACACAACGTCTGCCCCTATTCGACATTGCCTGTGAGCAGCCAAAGAACGATTCTATGATCTGGAGCTTTGAACTGGACAATTGCTCAAAATCCTATCAACTGACAGTTAGAGGCAGAAAACACCTTTGCCATATTTAGGTGGAAGGTCTAATGATAGATGTTTCAAAAGGCACACAATACTATTGAAATTAGGGTCGTCTTGGAACACAGCCACAGTTGTCACTGGGTGCCAGCAGTTTTATAAATATAGTGGGGCCACCTCTGAAGGAAGGCTCTTTGGCTAGTTACAAAACTCTGCCAGGTCAATACGCTGGGGAGTTTTTATGGTATTGTTCCTTCAGTTTTGTGGAAGAAATACGTCTTTATTCTGGATACTCGGTTATGTACACGTTTTTGCTTACAGGAACCTAATACAAACTTGATCCTGATCAGGCCTATCAGATAAGTTATTTCAAATAGTCCGTGTCGCTCTTGTTCCAAATGCTTACAAATGTACTGAAATACCAATATTTTGTTCCAAATACATAGAAAAAAGTACTGAAATACTAATATTTTCTTCTTCCTAGAAAAACCTAAAAAAGGGTGGCTTGCTTAATAGGCTTGGGAAACTTATCCTCCATGTACTATTAGTCTTGTGCTTGACTCTCCTAATAAATAAATTCATCAAGGTAAGCAAATAATTTTTAATATAGAAACTTACAAAACATGTTATGTTAAAAGCTATTTGTTAACCATCTACGGTAATATCATTAAATAAAAATTGCAATGAGATTTCACTGCATTTCAGAGACTGTGTTCTAGAAATGAAAGATTGTTTTGCTAATCTTTTTGGTATATAGATTTTAAAACATATTCTTAAAACTTCATAAATTAACACCAAATAATTGAATACATATTTGTAACTTGAAGCTCACCTGTAATTTTATAACAAGTGTAGATTTATATTGCATTCTGATACTGCTGAGCATTTGCAGTTTTTCACTGAATTTACTTTTCAATGAACGCAGTTAAAAATGAATACTTGTTATAAAAATGCTGTAGACCATACCATACTTTTAGTTGCTGCTTGTGCAGAGATGTCTGCAGGCGTTAGTGACAGTAACCCTCTTTCTGCTTTTGAGTCTTAGTCTCTTCAAGAGATCTGTATCAACAGATTAAAATTTAGTACACATGGGAATTAAAAGTATCACAGTAAGATATGATAAGTCATTGAAATAAAAAAATACAGCTAAACCCAACTTGTCCTGGATAATCTTTATCTGTAAATAAGAAACTAATATTCTAAAATATTCTAAAAAGTGAGTAACTTGTCCTTTGGACCACAGGACCATAATTGCAAACTGAATGCTTATTTGATTGCAAAGCACCCTATTTCAGTAAGCCTATGTTGCTTCACAGTTTCATTTAAATGGTGAAAAAACTGTTCACTGTGTGAAGCTTAATTTTTTTATACATAAAATATAATTTCCTTTCTTTTTCCCCCTTTGTAGAAGATTCTTAATCTTGAGTCAGATGAACATATATTCAAATTCCTGAAAGCAAAATTTGGATTTGGGGCAACAAGGTATGATTTAGCTGCAATTTTGCTTTATTGTATGAGTTAATTAAGTGAAGCCTGCAGGTTGTTCTCATGTAAGACCTTGGTGATAAATCATGGATTTTTACCTCATGTTTTTGTCATATATTTTCCTTCATAATAATCTACACAACTGTGGCTTTGTAACTTCTTGGGGAAAAAAGGAAACTTTGGTCCTTTTTGACATCAAGTTATGAAATACATGATGATAAGGATTATTCTTTTTTCTTTAGAGATTTTGATGCTAACCTATATCTTTGCGAAGAAGCTTTTGGTTTACTACCATTAAATACTTTTTCAAGACTCTCGGATACATTACTTTTTTACGTCTACGTATTTGTTCTCTTCCTTATGACACTAGCAGCTGTAATTGTTGCCTTTCGGAACCTCAGGTAAAATATGTTTTTGAAATAATTCACATTTTCATCAATTTTCTCTTCTTCAGTAGGCTAAGGAACTGACAGTTGAATACAGCAACATACAGTATTACTTTCCACAGGTACTAAGGAAACAGTAGGGCATATAATAGAGAGATCAGGCAAAATAAGTAACTTCCTATTAAAGCTAAAAATGTAGAGGATGTAACAAGACTAAACAAAGCAACATCCTTCCCTAGATTCCTTCCAGCTCTTTTGTTTGCTGTTGAAGTTTTGAAGTATGTGTAGGGTTGGTTGGGTTTTTTTGGCAGGGAGGGGAAGCAGGGGAAGGGTGTCTTTATAGAAAACCATGTTAGTTTCTTTAGTTCATCCCATTTTCTCTGTACAAACACTCCCAATCAAAGATTTGCCTGGTGGTATCCTCAAACTGCCCAGAAGTGAGCAAGGATAATCTGTGCTGAACTTCGTGTGATATGTGTGAAGAAGCAGGAGTGGTAGACTGCAACTGTGCATCACTGCTGTCAGTTGCCATAGCTAATCTGTAGGATTTGGAGGTATTTACAGAACACTAGAAGAAAATTAGTACTGAACTGCTATTTAAAAGTGAACAGTTCATTGTAGACCTCTTAGTTTTACATTTACAACCTGGGCAAAAGTTAGAAGGGAAGATATAAAACTTGATTAAGCAAAAATTCAAGGGGTGTCATGTAACTAATGCCACACGTTATATATTTTATGGAAAACAGGATAAAAGGGGGAGGGAGAGAAGGAGGGAGAGGGAGAGGATCTAAAACATTCTGAAACTATATTATGATAATTGTGAATCATAGTCATAATCTGTAAGGCATTTTGGTACTATTCAACCAGCCTCTTAAAAAAACTTACTGCACCGATCAATTTTAAAAACAAACAAAAAACTCTGCAGCTCTTACTTCCTGTAATCCTAAATGTAATCCCAAACATTACCCTAATTTTTAACACTGCACAGTTATCTCAATTCTCCCCCACCCGAAAAAACAGGGGGAAAACCCCACACATTTAAGCAACTTCTTTTTTTTGATCAGTCCTCCACATACATTCACAAGACTAGCCACATCAAACAATAACCAGTCCTTCCAGCACTTCTTTTCTGTAAATTTACTTCCAATCTATAGCTTTAGAAGCATCCAGCACAACCCCACAAAACAGAGCTAAGTTCTTCACTCTCATCAAAAGCCCTGTGAACCCTGTAGGAGTATTGCTTCAAGCAATAAGCCAAGCATGCTTTTCTGTAAACAATTTTATCTCATTCTAAACCGGCTCGTTTAAACCCATTGCATTTCCAGAGAACTAGACATGAAAATAAATAGCTGATGCTGCATCAAGTTGGTGCTATCATGCTTAATTATATCATAGATACAATAGAAGATTGGGGACTGATAGAATCATAGAATTGTTTGGGTTGGAAAAGACCTTTAAGATCATCCAGTCCAACCATTAATCTAACATTACCAAGTCCACCACTAAGCCAATTAAGGGTAGAGTAATCATTTCATGTTTCCTGGCTTGGTGGCTAAATTATTTTTTACTGAAAGTAAAAACTAGGAATCATTAAGGTTGGAAGGGATCTCTCAGATCATCAGTCCAACTGTCAACCCTGCACCACCATGCCCACTAAACCATGTCCCAAAGTGCCACGTCTACCCATTTTTTGAGCACTTCCAGGGATGGTGACTCCACCACCTCTCTGGGCAGCCTGTTCCAATGCTTGACTACTCTTTCCGTGAAGAAATTTTTCCTAATACCCGATCTAAAGTTCCCCGGACGCAGCTTGAGCCCATTTCCTCCCATCCTATCACTAGCTACTTGGGAGAAGAGACCAACACCCACCTCACTACACCCTCCTTTCAGGGAGTTGTAGAGAGCCATAAGGTCTCCCTTCAGCCTCCTCTTCTCCAGACTAAACAACCCCAGTTCCCTCAGCCGCTCCTCATAAGGCCTGTGCTCCAGACCCTTCACCAGCTTCGCTGCCCTTCTCTGGACATGCTCCAGCACCTCAATGTCTTTCTTGTACTGAGGGGCCCAAAATGGGATGCAGTACTGCTCTTTAGCATTAGAAGGATTAAATGCTTTTTAAAATACAGACAACTATATGAAATATGTTACAGAACTTAATATGATACCTTTTGTTTCTTCTGTTTAATTAGTGGTTCAAATCCAGTCCAGTTCATGGAAAAAATGGAAGAATGCACAATAACACTGAAGCCTGATGCTGCTTACAACTTAATTCATACAGTTCTTTTTGGATGTCTGGCATTAAGCACAATGAGGTATATTTTTTTAAATTCTACTAGAGGCTTTTTTAGACGATTGAGTATATTGTTATAAGAGTCTAAAATATGCTGACCACAAACTGATAGGATCATGAACCTTTTTTCTCTCCCTGGTCTGTTTCTGCTTATAGACTGAGGCATTTCCCAAAATTGTGCCAAAAGGAATGTTTGGAAGTTTGGGAGTAGAGATGTTCTCAAGAGCACATAGCAAAGTGCAAAGTCAATCTTTTACTCAGTTATTTCAGAGTCCTGAAAGTCCAAGAAAAGTGTGTTCAGAATTTCTCTAACTGCTCTCATCAACACAGCTTAGCAGAGCTCCAGATGATTAGCAAAAACTTATCTCTGTTCTTCCAGAATGAAGTACCTCTGGACATCGCACATGTGTGTATTTGCATCTTTTGGCCTGTGCAGTACAGAAGTATGGAAAGTTATCCTGAAGTGTATTCATCTCTACACATCACAGAGGGTTAGCACTATACTTACAGCATTTCCTGAAATTTGTTTTTGCTCCATATCTAAACCAAATCAAGACTCAGAATTATAAGACATCTGGAATGAATATTGTTTGTAGTCCATATAATCTGGGTATCTCTCAAGCACATTTGTATAAATTTAGTAAGTAAAATGCATTTTCTAGTGGTTTGTATATTAAACAATTCCATTTCAATACAGTAGATGGCAATATAGATGCGGCTATGAAAAATAACCACAATTTTACTGAAAAAGTCTTAGTCACCATATTAAGAAATCATCAGCTGTCTGAGAAGACCTTTACAGGCTATTATACTGAATGATACAGTGTTTTCCACTTTGTAGAAGACAGATTTAAGTATATAGATATAAATCCATCATTTGTGATGGGTCTGTAATAAGGGTTTTACTTGAAAACAAAATCAGAATATGGTCTTAAAATTCAAACCCTGTAAATTCCACCACATAATAAATATGTCAGGTATCAATACATTAAAAATTAAGTCTGTCCAAATAAACGTATCATCAGAATAACTGATTTTTTTTTTTGTGATTTCTCTTAGATGCATGCGATTAAGTATTCTATACCAATAATTGCATTACTATACATTTCACATAAGGTAAGAAATTTTTTTCTTAATGTTTTGGCATTTCTAGTTGCATGGAATTTTCTTTTTCTCATAAAGGGATGTTGTTTTATAAATAATTATCTACAAGATTTGTAGCTGAATTTTAAAAATTGAGGTAGACTACCTGAGGTGCAAGTACCTTTATGCAGATGAAATTGTATGTAGAGGATTGGTTGGGCTCATTTGATCCAAAGTAGCTGTTCATAGATAGGAACTTTTGTCTGATTATATGTGTAAGTTACCAGGTGTTAGTGAAATGCATAATTTTATGGAAATGTAAGTTGTCTGGTTTGGGGGTTTTTTTGGTGGGTTTTTCTTGCAGATAAGATGCAGATTGTTAAATTGTGTAGTGATTCATTGTAGGAGCAGAAATAATCAACGTTCTGTACTGCTGTGCCTCATCTCATATGTTTTAAAGTACAGAATTGTTAAACTAGTCTAGTACTTATGTTATCTTTAGTCTGTCCCAGAAACAACTTATTATTACAGTCAAATGTTTAAATGTAAATAAATAAGACATGTTTAAAATAATATGTACAAGATTATTAGTCTGTCAGACTGTCATAGCAGGGAGATTTAGAATATTAATGGACATACCATTCTTTTAATCTGTATTTACACAGACAAAAAAATTCAGATGCTGTTTTGATGGAGAGGTTATTTCTGCAATACCTAGTGTGAGATGAGAGTATTTCTGTTAAATAATTACCTTGAGAGGAACTCAAGGTGAATTTCGTTATTAAAGTTAAAAAGGCAGTAGTAAAGAGTAACAGTTAAGAAAGGTGCTAATGGAGTTCACTCTGGAAGCCTGTTCCCCCCCTTTAAAACAGTAAAACAAAAAGTCAAAAAAAATGTAACTTTTTAGTAAAGTTACACTGATGTTTTCCACTTTTCATATTATTCTGCTAGAGGACTTTTTAGGATTTTTTTTTTCCATTGGTATGCTGGTTAAGGAAGTCATTTACCATTTTCATCATCTCTGAAAATGATAGAAACAATGCCATTTCGTTTGACGTGGGTGATGCCAAGAGCTTGACATTCTAATAGACAGTCTAATGTGACACATCAACTAGGCATAATTTTCCTCCCACATCATGAGCAGATGTGAAGTTCCTAAATCCTGTCAGATTCAATTCTGAAGTCACCAGAAGTCACTGATTTTCATAGGCTTTAGATCAGTCATTAGTTGTGCTCAGTCTGCCTGAAAAACCTCATTTTTGTGTTTCTTCTAAATACAGGAAATAATTTTTACTGACATTAAAAATACCGTTTTTCAAAATGCTCATTGGGAATAAAGAGATACATCACCTCCCAGTGTTTTTTTGTCTTAAGTCTTGCAGTTCAGCTACCAGAGGAATAGATATCTTTGTCGGTGTCTCTTCTGGAAAGCTGTAAGAGTTAGTGAGCCTTCAGGAAAGAAGCCTACTTGACAGGGAGATAATACTTGTCACCAGATTCCCTGGCAATGGTCAAAATAAAAATTCCTTCAGAAAGAGATCTAGAAAGTATCCGTTGCTTCTGTGAGAATGTGTTTATGTATTCTCTCTCTAAAACCTTTAGAAACAAACTGACAGTGCAAGTAGATTTTGATAACAGAGACTGACTTACCTTTCTCTTTTCCAGATAAGAATTTATCTGTTCACGCACTGTGCCTGCTCAGATAGCATGAGCAGCTTGTGTATTCACCACAAAGTTAACTGGTCATTATGGCTAGTTTTCTTGAACCAGTAGCAGGGCAATTTTGTATTTCATTACCTGTTATGGTTATGTTTGCAGAAGAACTATTCTTTAGCACCATTCCTCAAAATAGGAGTTTTATGGGATTATTAACCTAATCCTGAATAAGCTAATGAAAGCCTCTTTTGAGGCATGTGGTTACTATAGTCCCAAATACCTCACTCGAACAATAATTTATTGAGATACAAATGCAGCTACAATGCTAGCTATCTTTCAGATTTCAGGTACAGTATGTTTTGAGACCTATAAGACATCTCTATTTCTATTTACACAAGTTCTCTAGTGCAAACATCTTTCACATGAAGTGAAAGTGCTGAATTATTTCCATGCATGCTTTAGCTGTGCTGCAGATAACACAGCACGTATGTAATGTGGTACTAAATATTATTTATGTTTCACTACATACTCTTTATATGTAGATATCAGCTGTATCTGTGTCCGTTGCATTTAACTGCTCAACAGAATAATACCCATCAATTTGTGTTTGTATGTCAGTCATTCCTAAAGAAATTGTTGGTACTTAAAACTAGTTCATGAGCTTCAGCAAGTCTGTAGTTCCTCATTTTGCCAAATAATCTTTCTTTGCTAGTAAACTATCCATTCATATAATTTCTCAAACTGCATTTTTATCTTCATCATGGCCAAGTTCTTTTGCTCCAAACATACACATTTATTGCAGCGCATAGCACAACATATGCCAATGATACGAGCAGTCTTCAGCTATACTGAAGAGCTCCCTGTAGGTACTGTATGTATTTATCCTTTAAACCTAAAGTTTATAAGCTTGACAGTCTGTAGAAGAAATGACAAAAGTAAATGTCATGTTTATTTCTATTCATACTATCTAATCCTGTTGCTCTAAGGAGATTCTTAATCTTCGTTCTTAGGCCAACAGTAACTATAAATAACGTAGTAGTACTTGCTTTTCACTTACACTCAGAAGCCAAAGAATTAATGCTTATACTTTTTGAATTCAAAGTAAGTGTCCTTGTATTTGAGAAGTACTGAACTCCCATAATCATCAGTGGACTGTTCAGGACTTCCAAGTTTGTGGCTAGCACAACTGTCTAACTCTGGACTTTCTAGCTAGAATGAAAAAGATAGGTTGGTTGTGAGGAGAAGCTGCAAGCTTTTAAAAATCTCTGGGTTCTTATCACAGCTGTAGAGATGAAAATTGTCAAGTGTATATCCTCAATATATATATTTGGAGATAGTAACTATTAATAAATTGAAGTACGCTGAAAACCCAAAGCACACCAGACATTCAGTAAGAAACTTAAGCATTGTTGCACTGGATGAAATCCATGATCGTGAGCCAGAGGGAGAACAAAGGGATAACAAATGCTAAAGAGAAACCTGAAAACTTTCTACACTATAAAGAGTTGGGATAATGTTTTCACTCACAAAAGATTTAATTTTACTCCTGAAAGTTAAAAATTGTCTTACATCCACCAAGGAGCTAGGGTGGGGGAACAAACAACAACTTTAGTACCTAAATATTCCATTCAATTTCTTTCTATGGTCGTGTCATCAAGTTCAGAGTTTATTATTTCATTTATTTTTGTAGATTCTAGGTCTTAGTGATATTTTTCAATGAGTAATTACATACCTTAGGAAAAATATTCCCCATTATCAATTTAGAGTATGCCACCTTTCTATTTTCTTGGCTTTCTTTTTGGTTTTGATGCAAGTCAGCAATAACATGTCATATTACCTCTTCCTATGCGTGTGTTTTTTAAGCCTTTCAGAAATTACAAGTCCTTAAGATTTTTCCAGTCCAGAAGAAAATCCCTGTGCTGCTAATTTAAGCCACTTGACAACAGGCTTCTTTTCCTGAAGACTTTGACCCCAGAGATCAGCATGTTATAAGTTGGAAACCTTTTTTACATACCACCCATTATTCTGAACAGTTTGTTACGTCCCCCTTTACTTACCTAAAGAATCTGATATACTCCGTCTATTCTTTTTATCCATTCCTTGTGTCACGGTAAACTTTTTCTCAACCTGATATACTTGATTTACAAGACAAAGTTGTTATATCAGTGTTATTGGTCCATATTTTCATATGCTTTACTTTTTATTTACTTTGTCATTGTTATTCTATTGTATTTGGAACTCCTGAAGTTTCTCAGTTTTCTCTTGACTTGACTAATTAAATGTAGTGTTACCTGAAAATTTTGCTACCTCAGAATTCTCTTTTTAAATTCAGTAATAGCAAGCCCCACTACTGAAATTTTCCCCTGTGAAAACTGCTTGCACTCACTCAAAAGTTGCGGTAGTATGACATTGTGACTTGAAAAACCTATGTAGATTAGTTAATGCCATATAATAGTACCAGTATTCAGTAGATAGCACAGTGTCATTAGGTTCTCAGTAGATTGCAGGGCAGGTTTGCAGCATGATCTAGAGGCAAAGCAGAGCCCATTTCCTTCTGTCTCCAGCCTGAAGGACTCCAAGCTGTCAAAATGTTTAGCTATCCAGGGTAGTTTAGCAATGAAGAGAGGAAATTTTGATTCATTATGAGACTCTACAGTCTCATTTCACAACTGCTTAATTTATTTACTAATCTCTCTCGAGATCTTCTGAAGAGCAGAAATATGTCTATTGTAATACTGCTGTACTTTCCAAAACTCTAAGGTTGTGATACTGCCATAACTATCTTTTAGATGTTTCTCAATCTACCAGTCAGTATTACTTTAACAAATGTATCAAGTAAACAGTTAAACTAATAAGTATCCTAATTGGCCCAATTATATCTCCTGCTCCCCAGTCCTCCTACATAATTATAGTTTTAGTGAAAGTATGCATATTTTTGCTGAGTAGCTCAGCAGCATCACATTCAAATTCCTTCTGAACTCTTGGATGAATATTATCTAAATTGGATGATTTATGGCTTTTTAGTTTGTCAGGCAGGTTTTCTTGCACTTTTTCCTGTGACATTTCACTTTGCAAGCCAGCAATCCTTATTATCTAAAGAAAGCAGGTTTGGAATAGGTTTCACCACAACACCCTCTGTAGTAAAGAATGATGCAAAGCAATCAGTTAGTCATTAGCATTGTCATTATCTTTCTTAATTGCTCCCTTTTGCTCTTGAGTATTCACTAGCTCAAACAAGAAACCCTTAAATAAATCTTTGCTCTGTTAGCTTTTTTGGGGGGAGGGTTAAGCTTTTCAGAATCAATTTCAATCCTTATTTCTCTCCTCCAAATTTGATTTATGTATTCTTTGTCTTCAGTAAATTTTGAAACGTTTTTTCCCCTGATAGTCTATTGGATGTTGCTGTTCACTCACACTTTTCTTTTTTCCTTCAGTGGTTCTCTTTGAATTCAGACTTCTGAAATGCTATTAATGGCATCCACAGCCCATCTAATGATTTTAACTTCTGATACAGATTTCAAACCTTTTTTTTATTTAGTTGTAAGTTGCCTTTCCAAACTTAATGTTAATTCATGTGGCCTTTCTTTCTTGTGTAACCATAGACATTATTTAATAGCTTGGCTGTTATGTATTGAACTATTACATGACGCCTCTTTATCTTGTTCCTTTTCTTATAGCTTGGTCTGTCAAGAAATAACTTAAAATATTAACATTCATCCTGTAGTCTCGGGAACTGAAATGGTTCGCTTGTAAAATAGATACAATGCACAACAGTCACATTTGGTGGCAACTTTTAGTTTCCCATCAATTTTAAGATACAAACTGATCTTTAACTGATAGAGTTCTGGAAATCTCCAGTGAGATGTACATCTGAGGAAAGCTGTTCTCAGGCTCACCACAACGGGTAATTCTGTTCCTTTTGGTCATCTGGCAGGAGCTGCAGATCTCCAACTCTGAAACTGTGTATTCATACTGCAATGACAGCCACCTATCCTTCATAAGAAGGGTAGATATGCTTATGTCTTCCAACTTATCGGTGAGCTGGACAAGATCAGTTACCAGCTAAGAGGAAACAATATGTTTCAACATCCAGAACTTGGTTTGTTCATTCTGTCTTCAGTTTGGTTTATTTTGTTTTCGTTATAGTTCTGGCCAGGAATAATGGATGAACTGTCAGAGCTGAGAGAATTCTATGACCCAGACACTGTGGAGCTGATGAACTGGATTAAGTAAGAGGATTTTTACTCTATTTAAGTTAAATGCTATTTGTGTAGATCTAATGTTCTTAGTTATAGTGTTCTTATTTGTCACAGCTCATCAGTGAACTCTGGTGACCCATGGAGATACTTAAGGATGAATGGGCTATCAAGAGGTTAGCATATTAACAGCTGTGGAGAGCAGCTATATGCAAAGTCCCCCAGACTGCTCTGCTCTGGTTCAGTGTCATGCTGCTGTATTGCATGTGCATCAGGGAACCAGCTGAGTCCATCTGCTCCCATAAGCGCACATAGTTTTCCTAGTCGAAAGAGGTCAGTTTGGAGGTGTCACGCTTCTTCCATCATATTATAGCTACCTCTTTACCTCAAAGATCTTTGCAGTGAAATAATTTTATTTTTATTTCCCCCCACAACCTGGTGTCCTCCTCTTTTCAACTTTATAGTTTTAAGAAACTTGGACATACAGTTGTAGGGCTGGAAAATCTGTACTCTACAGTCTATTTCTTGAACTTTAAAATAATCTGAATTGTTTATCCTTATAGAATTAATCCCAATATGTGTTCTAAGCTGTAAACAAAATACTTGTAATTGAACTTGAACTTGCCACGGGTAAGCATAGGTGCAAAGTCTCTTTCAGGAGTACGAGTTAATCATTTCAACCCCACCTCATCACTTCTGCTTTCTCACAGAGCATAGGAAGGTATTTTTTAGGTGGAAACAGTTTGGAATACTGCATGTAGAAGATCCTGAGAAAAAGGGCCAGGCAGGATGTTCTCTGGAGGACTGTGAATTTAAGGGATATGTTCTCTATTAACGTACAGTAACCACTAAAAACTTTCAGGTTAGGTTCTGAACAGAGATATTCCTGGGATTTGTATTTATTTGGAACTCTGACAAAGATTAAAAAAAAAAATAGTTTCATGTTCTGGAGCAAAACATTCTGAAAGTAAATCTGAAGTTACTACATTTAGCATTGAACTATTTGAAGTATTTCCTTGGAACCCTGTACTGTGTTTTCATATGCAATGGACTTCAGTGAAACCATTCACCCAGCCTGTTCTACCCATAGCAATGTATTTACACTCCATAATGTTGTATTTCTTTAATCCATAAACTAGAAGGAGTAATTTAGAAATAAAATATATTACAAGCCTTCACTGACTTATTTTGAAAGCAGGCCATGTTTTCTTCCATCATTTAGAATCTTTGCAGCCATATTGACACATTTTTGTGACTAATGTTTACCAGCCAGTTCCATTTAGCACTACTGTTTTATTAAAAGATGGTAAATGTCTGATAGTTCAGGTCTCCTGTGTACAATATATGGAGTTATAGATAGATTTATACATAAAATATGCATGTGGAATTATTCCCAGCCATGAACTGGATTTGACTGGATCCGATGAGAATAATTTTTCATATGTTCTTAGTGCTGAGAATGCTAAACTGGTGCTTTTCCTCTTTTCATTTTAAGTCATGACAGACAATTACAGAGGGAAATTTTCTACTTAGAATTTATTGTGTTTAGAAGTATTATTCATGTAAAGAAGAGTTAATTATCTATGCATAAATACAAGTCAACGAAATTTATGGTAAGTTTCTTGAAGTGGGACAGATTTTCTTAAGTTTTGATGTGTAAGAAAAATATTTTACTATACTAACGCTTGATAGTTCTGCTGTAGTTAATGATCTGTCAAGGTTGGTGTCAGGAACTAATCATTCATTATTAAAACTCAGTATGAGAAGCTCTGATTTGTCATGTATAGCAGTGAATTAGGAATAACTCATCTGTCTTGCAATCTCTCCACAACAAGAAAACCCTTCTTTCTGCTTAGATCTAAATGCATATTAACTTGTCCAAATATACAGTCTGAATAATAGTCAACTATTAGTCTGTCCACTGTGAAGTGTCTGCAGATGTATTTTTTCCTCTTCCCCTTACTGAAATTACCATAGCGTTTTCAGGAAGATATACTGGTTTATATCTTTACAACAAAGTTACTGCATAGTATTGGACTGCATCTATTGCAGAGCACGATTTTTTACATAATGATCTTGCATATCCCAGTCTCTTGCTTTTTCCTACCCACCACCTCATTTCCTTAGCTTTTATTTAAAAAAAAAAAAAAAGGCAAGACGGTCCTGCCAGTGACCCAGGGATAGTTCACAGCTGTGTTCCCAGATGGGAGGTATATTAAAATTCTTAGTTTTGGTCTTTCTCCCTAAGACAACAGGAACAACATGCTCATTTGTGAGATGGGGAAGAATATCAGTAGAATGAGCAAATCAATAGCGTGAACTTCCCTACTCTGTTTACTTCTGGTAAGTGTTTAAGAAGCAATGTCTTCTGCCTTTAAAGGGGAAACCTGTCTAGAATTGTGGAATATTTCATAAGCAGTTACCAAAAATCATAGAAAAGCTTCTTAGAAATCTCAGACAACAGCCAAAACAGTGGAAAAGTTAACTGAGACTGAGATTTGGCAGAGCATACGTCAACTGTATTTGAATCAGGTGTGGGGGACAAGCAGGCAAATTTTTGTACTAGTGGAAACCCCACAAATTTCCAAAAAGCTCCTAAGGTTAGAAAAATTGAATACCTGTGTTGCAATGGTGGTTCTTTCATTTAGTAATTTATATTAATGGCGATATTTTAATTTCAAGCCATCTATAAATTTTATCTCTTCATTCTTACTTATGTGCCTGATTTTCAAGGGTAATCACACTGAAATCAACACATATTCCAGACTTTAAAGGCAACATTACACTTTTTTTTTTTTTAAATTATTGTTCTTAAATTCTTGGGCTTATCCTTTGTCATTGACTGATTTGTCAGTAAAATTCAGGCATGAACTTGATAGTGCCTGAGAACTAGGTTTATACCAACTGTGTAGGCGCAATCCTTTCCATGAACAAAATATGCATGCGTAAAATTGAGGCTGGGACTAACAAAAATGCATCTTGTTGCTCTTTCTTTGTGGCTGTCATTTTCCATTTTTGCAATTTTCAGTCTTTCCAAACCAGAGGGAAAAAAAAGAACCATGACAGTTTGACTGAATGTGCTTTACTGCCTATCATTTGCAGCTAAACCTGTAGTATTTTAATGTAGCATTCTGCAAATAAAAAGACTTTCTTTTAAAGAAAAAAAAAATCTAACGTGGCATGCTTGAGACCCCTTTTCAGAATCTTCTTTTCTCAAGCCCCTTTGCTTTATAGATTCATATCGCACCCAGGTGCTAGTAAAGGAATAATCTGAGGTTTGTCAGATTTTATGGGTTTGAAAGCCAACTAAACTACAGAGTTCCACTCTGGAGGACTTTTAATAGAAATAGCCATTTTATTTCTAATGATGTAACCTATACTTGCAACGTTGGCCATTTCTGCAGGGCTTCCTTAAAACCAACTCACAATAATTCTTTAGCAGCTTAATAAGAGAAGGAATTACTACCACTTCTAGAGTCTGTGCAAGTTAGGCATAGGCCTGTAGTTCCTGTAAAACCCTTTCATTTTTAATGAGTTGTTCTTTAGTGTTTACATAATTCTCTAAATTCTTAAGTGTAGGTGAAGAAAAGCTTCATACAATATATTATAGTGCTTAGTTTACCCATTAGTTCAGCTGTAATTAACTTGTTGAAAGCTTAGAGCTTCGAAAATAAATGAGATTATTTGTTCAAAATGCCATCAGGTCTGCTTGGAATGACATTTAAATTATATAATGTAAATCAGTTTGACCTGTAAGTCCTTGTCATTATTTAGTGACATTTCATACAGAATAAATTGTTTGCAGGTTGGGCAGAGTGGTATGGAGCTTGGCAGAAAGCTATGAAAACAAATTATCCTTTCATTTTATACATCATTTGTTCAGACATTTGTAAAAATGGCTTCGTTTTTTTTATAATAGAGAAGTGTCATTCAGTGGTTTGAAGTACATTAGCTGCCTTGGATACAGACCACAGCAGTTAGTGTCTGACTCAGGTAGGAGTATTAGAGAAAGACGCTTGCATGAAATGTAGAAATCATCCTGTACCTGAAAAATATTAGTTAATTGTCATATCTCCCTCTAGTGGCTGTTTGAGAAGATAAGTGCTCAGTAACAGCCACCAGCTGAAGTTTAGATGCAGTTAAGGAGGGCCGACACTGCATGAAGCTCAGCATCACCCCCCAGCTTCCAAGTGTCTGTCCACAGCAGTGAAATGCAGCGCCAGGTTTGTGTTCTTGGCATTGCCAGTAAAGCATGGGAAAAGAGTGCCTCCCATGGCTCTGGTAGTAGCACGTGTTGGTCTGGGAACCGTCTGAGCTGGCCCCACTAAAATACAGACAGTGGTATGTCTTCAGGCGTACAATTTTCTAGGACATCAAACATGTAAATCTGAGTCTCAGGGAAACATCTGCCTTCACCTGGAATACCTGATTTTGAACTCCATCCAGGACCAAGGCATGTAAGCCAGTTTTTTGAAAAGCAAGCGAGGGTCACTGGGCCACTTTTAAAGTATAGGAAGAGGAGGAAGTGCTGGCAAAACTCTCAACACCTGGTAAATAAAGATTGCACTCAGCTATATTTCACCCCTTCTGGGCAAGAGTGAATGCTTTTAGGAAGGGGAGGAATTGAACCCTGCATCTTCTACATTTTTGACAAGCGTTTTTACCAGTAAGTTATGGAAGAAGGGCACTATCACCATTTCCTCTAGCTTTCTCTTGTAAGAAAAGAGGCTGCGCGCTGCTTTTGGGGAAATTTGTTGTTGGGTTGTTGTTTTCTTGTGGTTTTGCCTTTGGTGCTTGCAAGTTTGCATTATGTTGGGCTCTTTAGGAATCAGGTGCAGGATTGCCTTGATAAGGCCAAGTCAGGAGCTAAGTACTGCAGAGCGTTATAAAATTTGAACTAACCTTGAGCAAACACAGAAAGAGACTTTTCACATTAGAAGTTTCCTGGCCCAGGCATAAACACAGAAACATGTTGAAGGTGCTTTGAGAATTATCATTTTCATTTAAGGTGTCTAAGCTCTACCAAGTCCCCTGTGAATCTGGGCCACGTTCGTTTCAGCTCAGTCTAAAGAATTGTGCTTTCCTGCAGATTCAGGGATGAGTCCTAGCTGACAGCCTGTCAGGGCCATTACATTTGCATAATATTAAATTCTAAGATGAATTCATTTCTTTTAGTGAAACATTTACTTCATGACACTTGTGGCTTTGAATATTTTAGGTCAAAAAGAAATTTTAAGAGAGATTAAATATTTTCAGACTTTAAAATGAAACTGGTTTTATAAACTGCTGAAAAACTAGTCTATCAGTAAAGTTAAACTGTCCTATTAAAAATACTATATCTGTCCTTTCTAGATGAGATTAATATACCAGTGCAAGAATTTTTAGGAAGGGTTTGTAATTATTAATTCATCTGCTAAGCATAATCTCTTGAAAGGCGATAGTAAAATTTAATACTTGTCTCTTAACATTTTCAAGCCAATCATGGAGCTTAAAGAAGACTGAATTCATAGCTGCAGTTTCAAAAGGCTCCCTAAAGTGCGCCCCAAAGTGTCACAGTTATTTGACTACTATAGGTGCCATATGTGCATGTATGTGTATGTATGTATGTGCTGTTGTGTCTTCACATATATTTTAGATTGTAAACTTGGGGGGGGGTAGGTGAGCAAAGAATAATTTTTTCATTATGGGTATTTAAACAATCCTGAGATACCAAGACTGTTATTTAGATAAGAATTCTAGACATTGGCTTTGAATTTCAGGTAAGATCCCAGTACCAGTAATTGACAGCATTTCTATCGGGCATTGTCTGCGTTCCCCCTGCCCCCACCCCACTTTTTGCAACTGGGGTGACCTTTTTCACAATTTCTCTCCCATAGTTGTCATAACAGGAGGATTAATGTCTCGCATAACAGAGTTTTCACTCCAAGTGAATGGTGAATACCAGGACAGTAACAAGAAGTTTTAGCATTCAGATTAAATAATCCATTTTATATAGAATACCTTATATATCAGACACAAATCTAAGTCACAGTAAGTTTCTTGAAATATTAAAAGAATTAGGATATAGAAATTTACAAATATTCAGAGGCTGTATGAGCCCAAGAAATATATGAAATATGGATGGAGTAGTTTGAAATTTGCAGGATCATGTTTTCCCTAAATTTCCTCATAGTGCATAGTAAATTTTTTATTTGCAGTTAGAGAGTATTACCGTAATTTATCTGCTTCATATTTGAAGAAAAACACAGTTGCTTTGAACAGTTTGCTCCCTGAATAGAGGAGAGGCAGAAAAATATTTTTTCGGTCTTTTTTTTCCTTCTGATCTGTAACAAGCAATGCAAAAATGCCCCCACAGAGACTTCCTCAGACTTATCAACATTTGTTTAGGTCAAACACTCCAAACACAGCAGTGTTTGCTGGGAGCATGCAGCTATTAGCAGGAGTCAAACTGTGCACTGGACGGACCTTAACTAATCATCCCCATTATGAGGATAAGAATCTGAGAGAGAGAACAAAACAGGTAAGAGTATTCTGATTGTTTAAGCTAATTCTTACCCATATCAGTGGCTCCATTCCAGAAAACACATGCAATCTCTAATGGCACATTGCAGATGACATCACGCACTTTACTCATTGAACTAGCTTATTTTCAGATACAGTTCCAGAATTTAACTTCTGTGAAACTCATAGTACTTTGTGCATCTGCTAACTCACTTCTGGCAGCCGGTGTATGTCTGAATAACTAGGTACTAGTCTGAATAGCTAGGTACTCAAGCTAGTTCTGAGTGAACTGGTTTGGGTACCGTTGGCGTTAATAGATCCTGCTGCCCAGCTGGGCTTGTTAAACCCACATGGAGCATTTCCCAATTTGCCTGATACTCCCTTCAGGTCCCAGACTGGCACATAACATTTTATAATAGAAACCACCTTGAGAAACTACACAAAGCTGGGGAGATTGTTTTAAACTACCCTTTCCTATAATTTAGACATTCTGAAGGTTTACAGGCATCTACCAAGGCCTTTCAGCAGACAGCAGCACCATCCAGCATTTTTGTAGCCAGCAGCAGTACTATTGTGCATCATAGTAGCCATAACATAGAAACTCTAAATGGCTACTGAATAAAGCTTTTTTTTTTTTTTTTAAATATTTAGTTCAAATCACATGGGTTATCGATCTCAGTTCTTCCTCTGGTTCAAGATAAAGGAATCATGAGAGAGCAAACAAAGAAATGGTGGTAATGTAATATATCTTAACAGCTTAGTTTTCTTCTTCTGTAGATTTATCAGATCTATGCCAAGAGATCTCCTGAAGATGTTTACAGGATACTGCGATCCTTTGGCACAGACTACGTGATCCTAGAGGACAGCATTTGTTATGAAAGAAGACACAGTAGAGGCTGTCGGTTACGTGACTTACTTGATGTAGCTAATGGCCATGTAAGTATTATATACAAGATTTATAAAGAAAATACATTTTGCTTAACTTCTTTTTGAAATACTGTTATGATTTGAAGTAGCTTGGGTTATTTCCACTTCATCATGAGTGTGGGAAGTAAAATCTAATGGAGCCTTTAGACATTCTCAAAATCTCCAGATTGAACACTGCTTGCTTTTAATGGTATTTGATAATGGAAAAAGGAGGAACTCAGCCTGGGCAAAATAAGTAGTCACTTCCTGGTGAGCTTCAGGTTAGCAGTACACAAATAGTGTTCCCTTTCAGAGTGTAAATCATGTCATAGCTTTGATTCCCTCAGGACCAGTGGACAGTTGTATGACTCCACTGTGTCAGGGGAGTTTTCAAGCATTTCTGGGGCTAACATGGAACCACAGCAGACCACATAACCCAGAGCAGATATGTACCTCTGACAAATCAGCTTTATCCGTAATGGAGACAACGATACGATAAATCTTACTGTTTTAGCCTCCTGCTTGTTTCATACAGCCACTGTTACAAATCTGGCCAGCCTGACCCTCCGAATGTATTGTCGAGGTTGTTTTTAGTTTCTTGTTACTGCCTGTAACTGTAAATTGGCTAAAGATAATTTCACAAATCTGTTCGATTTCATTACAGATCATGGATGGTTTGGGAGAGAATGAACCTGATTTGAAACCTTCGCTGTATCCTCGCTTCTGTGAGGAAATTAAAAAAAACCTGCCTTCTTATACCATACACTTCACTAGAGTGTTTCAAAACAAAACATTCCATGTTTACAAACTTGCTAAGCATAAATAACATTTCCAACCATGGCTTCAAGTTCAGTATTTTAATGCTAGGACCCACATTAGAAAATGCAGACGTTTACAAACATGTTACATTTGTAAGACATTTTACATCGATGGTTTCTTGTTTAATTACTGTGATTCTTAATTTTTTAGACAGTTTAGTTTTGATAATGTTCTTGAAGTTGCCAAAATTTCCATAGATTCATAAATAAATGCTAGCAGGGACCATTTTGATTATAAAGTCTGACCTTCTGAATACCTAGGATATAATTGCTTTCCAGTTTTAACTGATTGAAAGACACAAAATGAGCAGCCTGCATGACCTCTGCAGAATAGCTAGCCTACGAAGTCCTGTGCAGCAGGTTGGATTTTTACTACAAAATGATAGAAATTCAATGAAAGCAGGCCACACTACTCCTATACTGAGTATGCATTATCTTTGTGAATCCTTAAAACAGTCACAAAAATTGGGTTTCGTCTTACAATCTTATCCTCTTTGACAGATCCCTGTGCTCTTTCAGTGCCTCTTTTTTGAATTCTTTGGGAATGTATGCGGATATGAGTTTCCAAGCTTGTGAATGTGAGTGCAGAATCAGCAAACAAGTTTGAAGAGTAAAACTTTAATCATTGTCCAGCATTTTTAGTGATACAGAAACGTACTGTTCTATAACATTAAGCATTTAATGATAGAGTGTTATGTATTTCTAATGAGAATAAAGGTTGGAGCATGCTTGATACATGTTGCATGTTTGTATCCTCGTAAAATGCTCAGAGCAAACAAAAAACCAAATTTCTCAGCTTGGATTCTCACACCACTATTTTCTGTATTTGCTTTCTGAACTACAGGGGATCCTTTTTCTCCCCGTGTGAATTCCAGGAGTAGGATACCAAAATTGAACACTGCCAACCTTACAAAAGAAAAATTCATCTCTAAAATCA